CCATTTTTGCACAAATCTTCATGCATCTGGTCTCTAGTGTCTGTAAAATAAAGTCTATTCTCTGGCACAGCTTGGGAATGAGGCATTCTGGTTCAATATTCTGCTTAATAGACTTACCCTATATGTTTTCATGGATTGCCTATTTTTAAAGATTTGCAATAGATCAAAAGGCTTTGTAGCCTGGGTGGTCCCAGCTGAGCTCAAAGGGAATTGTGTGTGTGAGTGTGTGAGTATGTGTGAGTGTGTGTGTGTGTGTGTGTGTGTGTGTGTGTGTGTGTGTGATTAAATAGAGGCAGTTGTTGGGTCCTTAGGGGCTCTATTTGCATGAAAGGATTTAGACTGGTATTTTATTTAAACCTGGCTTCTAGGAAAAGGAAGATGCATGCCCCGGTGCCTGAACAAATTAGAGAAAGGGGAGCAATGGTGGGGTTTATGGTCATAGGATCCCCTTCAGGTCTCTAGGATTTAAAAAAAAAATTAAGCCTCCAAGGAGAAAGGGATCCTGGAGAAGGGAGATGAATTGTTTTTATGAAGGATCCTGTGAAATTTTCAACAATGACTAATAGTAATGATAACATGTTCTTAAGTTATTTCAATGAATCTAATTCTATAAAGCCTTTTTCCTATATTTCTAGTGTTGAGATATAGAATGAGAATATACACACAACAAATATTTATTGAGTGCCTAGGTAACATATTGTTCTTTAAAAACAAAACAAAAACACACAGAAGCAGCAGGAAACTGACAGATTTAAAACAGAAAAAAATAATTTCTATAATTTATTTGGAGATGAGAGCTTATTAAAATTATCACAGGTGATGAGCCTGGGAGCCATTTACCATATAAATAAGCCTATACTATTCAAGAGGTGCATCAGGGCCTTTGTAGTTATTATTAAAATTATTAAAACACAATACTTGCCTTGAACACTATCTCAACAGCTAAAATTAATTTTTATGCCTAAGAAAGACACTGCATGGTGGCACAACACAGAAAGTTCACTGAGTTCCAATATTCTATTCTAAATATCTCAAAAGAAGAAAGATTGTGCAATCAATATTTGAACTAGTAGAATGACTAAAGCATAAAGAAAAATAGCAAAAAAGATGTCTAGACATTACATAAATATATAATTTTATTTCCTTCCACAAAATATTCAATCTAAATTTAGGGATTCTTAATTAATCTTGCTTATATAATAAGTAGTGTTTTCAACTCAAATGATCTCAGAGAAGCTAACTGGAAAAAGAGACTTAACTCTGAATTGAGAAATATTTCCAATTACATATATCTGCACGCCAATATATAGGACATTCATCTTGAATATTTTTCATATCCTCATTAGTTGAATAATATTAATAATGTGAATAATTAATAGAGCAGCATCTCATGGAGAGTACCAATCTTACTTTCATTAATTAGAATGTGATTATTTTGAAAAAGGTCTTTGATACATAATGTCAATCCCCTATTTAATTTCATTACCCCCATCCTCTCAAAGATATCTCTTTGAGGAAGATTTTTTGGTATGTGCATTTTGTTTATGCTACACATGCCAAATAGATCTTCCAAAATGAAACTTTGAGCTCATTTGGAAGTAATTTTTGGTAGCACATGCATCAGAATACTTATTATTTTCTTCTCAGCACTACCGGTATTTTATTGCTTCCATCTACAGTCCAATATGCTTTTAGCGCTAAGACCCCTGAGGCCAAACACACAAAGCATTCAGAAAACGGGAACTTCTGGCGATTACAATTTTTGTCTTTCTTTCAGGGGTTTTCCCTCCACTGGGAGTGTGAAATCACTTTAAGCTCACTACGAAACAGGAACATGGTGGGCACACATGATTGACTGAAGTTGGTGATGTTGATTTAGGAGTGTTCGGCTTATAGGTCAGGTGTAAAACCCTTAAATCTGCTTGTCAAAGTCTGCTTGTCAAATTGCTATGGATTTTTCCAGACTCTGCCCAAATGTCACTTTCTCTATGAAGGCTTCCCTGGCCAACTCAGGCAGAGTGAGGCAGTTTCTCCTTAGTATTATTATAGTGCCCTGACATTTTCCTCTGGCAGCACCTATCAAATTATATTGCATTTACTTGTTTGTCTCCCTCTATGTATAGAGCGAGACTATCCCCTTATTTTTATCTCTAAACTAAAGCACTATGAAAATCAAGTTGGTTCTCAATATATAACAATCGAATGGATGGATAAAGAATGGCTAATAATATTCTTCATCTGCATAGTATGGGTTACATGGTGTTTTCATACAGTGGTGAGGAAGACATGGCAGGAATTATCATCCATATTTTGCAGATGTGGAAACCAATACCCAGAGAGGTTATATGACCAATCCAAGTTCAAAATAGCTGATTAATGGCATGCCTAGTTCTTATGTAAGCCAGTCAATAAAGATTTCTAGACATAAGTGGTAGCAGTAGAATTCTGTCAGAGAGATGACAATGGCTGGACAGGACACAGGGTAGCAGCTGGTTACATGTTTTGAAAGCTCCAATCTCAATCTTAGCAGGTTCTTAAGAAGTTAAATGCACACAAAACCAGACTTCAGAATGTCAACTTATTTACAATGAGAATGATCTATGACAAGTTATTTCCTTGTACTCAAGCTGCACGCAAAGTGAAGCCAGTACATATACATACTTGACTCTCTCTGAAATTTGACCATGACTCATAGACTAATGAAGAAGATAATGTTCTTAGAAGTTAGTAGTATAACCCCTTCTTATACCAAATGAATAAACAAGTAAATAAACCAATAGCTAGGTAAGATAAATGACTTACCTGCAGTCACATAGCTTGTTACTTTCAGCATAAGGACACAAAATCATGTCTTCTTAACAATGATATCCTTACATTTTTAAACAAGTTATGATTGAGAAGTATTATAACTATAATTCTTAGCAAGTCTTCTAAGCATTTTTCTAACATGACTAAACAAGCTATCAAACAGAAATTTTCCTTTTTCAAATGCTGCAACATGGGAGACATATCCCAAATTCTACTCTGTGTCTGTATATTGGAGAGGTGTGTGTGTGTGTGTGGGTGGGTGGGGGCACACAATCATTGTTTTAAGATCCATGCTAAAACAAGGCACATGTCATTGATGCTATAAAAACAATCCATTGGACTTTTCAATGTGTCAACCTTTCTCGTCCATATTCATTTCAACATGCTTTGTTTTTCTTTTTGAAAATAATCTAAGTAGATATAAGCTTGGTCTTCATATGTCCACATCAAATGTATGACTTTTAAGTTTTGAAAATAGTTTAGCTACTCATTACCAGCAGAACACATTTTACTACTTATTGGCCAGCTAAAAAGTATATGAATAAATAAATAAATAAATAAATAAATAAATAAATAAATATGTGTGCCTATTAAGGGACAAAGACCAAAGGTCAAAATAAGCTAATATTCTTAGCAAAAAATAAGACAAATTATCATATTTATAAAAAGTTTTGGGTCAGGGTGCATGCGGGAGTCAACCAATAGATGTGTCTCTCTCACATCAATGTTTCTCTCTCTCCCCATCCATTCTCCCTTCCACTCTTTCTAGAAATCAATGGACAAATAGCCAGGGATAAGGATTTAAAAAAAAGAGTTTTTGGTTTATTTTCCATTACCAAAGATGGGATGTGCTCTGGGTCCTATGTCTTAAGTCAGTAGGTGAAAGCAAATGCTTTCCAGAAACATATATCTCACAGGTAGTGAAAGACACACCAAATTCAAATGATTTCACCATCAATTAAGAGAGGTAGCCTTATTTAGCAAATAACTGTTTTGGGGATAGAAACCTATATTGAACTGCAACAATTAGTTTGCTAATTGGTCTTCCTGCTGGGATAATTGCTAGAATTGCTTCTTTAAAATAGATGGACCTTTGCTGTTTGATATAAACTATTGTGCATATCTTTCTTTACTACCATAATCAGAGTCTGTATTCTTCTACTCCTTGGCTGGATGCAGAGAAATAGTTCCACAGCATTTATACAGCAAAGCTTTTGTTTCCCTCTAACATTATAACTGCACCCTGATTGCCTCCCCTCCAATTAATGCTAGTATATACTTTTATCTCCAAGAATTACAGTTGAAAACAAGAGCCCTTATTCTGGAAGAAAGTTTAGGTATTCATTTACACAGTCCAATTTGGAATCAGTCTCTTATCTAGACTACGAAAGAAACTTTTTCATCAATTACATCATTTTAATGTATTAACTGAAAGATTATTTTAGATATGAGTTTGAAGCTAGATCAAATGATAATATTATGCTGTATAAAAATCAGTTATTTCAGTACCTATTAATTTATTTTCTATTAGACGCCCAGTGCACGAAAATTCGTGCACTTGGGATGGGGGGGCCTCAGCACGGCCTGTGCCTTCTTGCAGCTGGGACCCCTCTGGGGATGTCTGTCTGCTGGAGAGTGGGCCTAAGCTGGCAGGCAGACATCCCTCTCGCAGTCCGGGAGCCCTTGCTCATCACTACCTGCCTGCTCACTGCTCCTTACAGCTTGGCTCACTGCTGCCTGGGAGGTAGGGAGGCTCCTACCACTGCTGCTGTGCTTGCCTGGCTTCTGGCTGAGCAGCGCTCCCACTGTGGGAGTGCACTAACCACCAGGGGGCAGCTCCTGCATTGAGCATCTGTCCCCTTGTGGTTAGTGCACATCATAGCGACCAGTTGGTTCCACCATTTGGTCGATTTGCATATCACCCTTTTATTATATAGGATAAAATTTCAGTAGAAAAATTCCCATGTATGCCTAAAGTTTAAGATAATTCATGTAGTTCTCCATTTCTCCATTATACATTAAGCCAGCCAACTATTTTCATCTATGCCACAGGTATAAAATACCTGTCAATTCCTGTTAAAGGGCTATAACATGAAATCAATATGATCAATAGTTATATGAAATGCCAAAAAAAGAAATTACTAAAAAACAAAAGCATCAGGCCTTGCAATGCATTAAGATGTATTACTCACCAGAAACAAAGTTCGGAAGTTGTTGAGATCACCAAAAAATTCTTCTATGCTCACTGTCTTAGAGTCAAAAATAAAGTATTCTCCAAGATTCTCATAGAGCTTGACCATATTGCTGTGCATAGTGGACAGTTTGTCATACTGCTCTCTGGCGATCTTTGTAAAGCTGTAGGTTTCTGTTAAGGAATATGATCCAATAGTACCTCAAAGGCAATCATTAGATATTAAGATTGAATTATACCACCATTTCTAGAAATACTTATATATTAGGTTTCTAGGGTTGCCATGATAATATACCACAGACTGGATAGCGTAAACTACAGAATCTTATTTTCAAACATTTCTGGAGGCTGGAAGTACAATATCAAGGTGTTGGCGAGTTTGATTTCTTCTGTGGTCTCACTTCTTGGCTTATTGTAGATGGTGATCCTCTTGCTGTGTCCTCACATAGTAGTCCTTCTGTGTTTTCTGTTTCCTAATCTCTTCTTATGAGGACAGCAGTCACAGAGGATTAGGGCACACCCTTAGAATGTCATTTGAACAAAATCACCTATTTAAAGGTTCTATCTCCAGATGGTCACATTCTGAGGTTCTGGGGCTTAGGGCTTCAGCATATGATTTCTTGGCAGACAGAGTCCAGTCCATAACAAGTTGCTGTTTTCATTATATTGGTTAATGAGTTTTGAAACTATAAATTATGTTTAATGTATAACCGTGCAGAACATATTTGCTAAATCAAAATATGTAAGTATAAATATCCACAAACTACCTCATATTTTTTTTTATGAACAGCATACAGTAGAAATAAACACCAACAAGAAACTTAGAAAGTATAGATTCACCATTCTTAATGCACATTTTCCATATAGATAGAGGTTATAGCAAATTCTATATAAGATTATGTTATATGTAACTGTGTGTGTGTGTATGCGTGTGTGTGTGTGTGTAACCCTCATGAAGTGTGGAGGGAGAGTGAGAGGGAGCAAGGGAGAGAAAGTGAGAGAGATTCCGCTGTAGTTCTATAACCTTAACCACTCCAAGGACTTATTAAAAGCCAGATTGCTGTTTGCTGAGCCTGAGCCCAGGGGCCTGAGCATTATAATCTCTAACAAGTTCCCAGGTGACACTGAGACTGCCAGTCCTGGAATACAGTCTGAGCAGTACACACCACAAAAGCTACTTATTCAGAAATGAATTAGATCATTGTTTTACAAATGTTATCAAAAGGTAATAACAACCACCAGTATCAAAGCATTAAATAAACCATATATTTAAAGGTGTCCAACTAAAGGTATCTCATTATATCTAAATTTATACTTATTAAAGTAAATTATAATACTATTTTCCTGATTATAGAAGGTATACTTATAGAAAACTTTCTCTTTAGGACTTAGAAATATAACAGCTTTAATAAGTAAGCAAATTTTCAACAAACAGAAGTACTGTGAACATGTTGGAGCATTTTCTTTGAATGTTAACTGATATGAATGCTTCAGAGAAAGGTAAGCACTCTAGCCCTAAAGAATATAGGAAACCAAGTCCACATTCTAAAATTCAAGTTAATTCTATTAAAAATCAATAGTGAAACAGAAGTAAGATGTCTCTAAATAGAAAAGTAACAGACTTGGAATTGTAAAAGAAGAACAGCACAGTTTCAGGGCATGTGGATACAGATCCACTGCAGTATATTAATATTTTGTACCTGTATTATGTTATCAGATTCTGATAATTGTCTTGAAATACTTGGTTTTATACAATTTTCTGAAATTTTCAGTGTGTTTTATTATAACCTGGGGCCAAATTTATTTTCCATGGGAACAGAGCTCTAGTTGTACAGTGGAAGTTAATGGGAAAATCACACCATTTCTGGTAAATTACTTTGCAACTGACACTTAGGAACAGAACATGATTTAAAATGTGAAATGACCCCTACCCATGTTCTTTGTTATGCTACTTAAGTATTAGCATTCACATTAGCAACCCAACAACCTCATCTGTGCTAAGTGACATTAAATCTTTCAACCCTCAAGTTCAATTAGATCTGAAAGAATTAACACATTTCTGACTTATTCTACTTCTTTTAAAAAAAAAATTATCAACAAAGGGTTAGAGGTACTGCTATATACACATTCTGGTTTCCCCTCTGAGAATATCACCATATATTTCTATTCTTATTTTTAAGAAAGCGTTAAACAACCTATTTAAGAGTTGCAGAAATATGACAATACTCTTCATTTCTTAGAACAGAATGAAAGTTAGATACTTGTCTCTAGTCTCTTTTTCCTAAATAAATTCGACCCACACCAGAGACTTTCTACACAGAAACACTTTGCAAAGGTCACTTACTTGTACTCTATTTGCAATGCAAAGTACAAAACTATATATTTCAGAAGGCTCAACATCTGTACAAGGAACAAGTGGAAGATAAAAGAGGGAAAATACTGCATGTTTCCCATTTATCATAACACAATTTTTCACCACCTAAAATATGTCTATGTAGTGATACACAATTTCATAAATCTGTTCTCCTAGGACAAAAAATGATTTCAGAAATTCTGTCTGTGAACCAAAGTGAGACAATTTGAAAAATTCTAGGAATGCTTTATCTTATAAATAACAAATGGAAAACAGTTCAATTTCCAAGTCCTTCACTTATCCTCAAAGTGATTACTTTGTAAAAGGGAGAGCCAGCATGAGTCAGCATGGAAATCTTTCACAATTACAACCATGTCACCACATCCTTCCTCGGACAGGAGGAGAAAAAGAACTGGATACCAGTCCTTTCATCCCTTATATCAGTAAGAAAAGTTTTATTTTATTTTATTTTATATTTTTGAGCAGTCACTAAATACAAAATCTGTTCAGTCCCATGCTAAGCATCATGATGGGTACAATGATCATTAAAGCCTAATCCAGACTCTGAAGTAGTTTATAATCTAATTTTGCAAATAATTCTACCATCAACAATTTGCTTTTGTATAGGACTTTATTATTTAAGATATATTTTCCTTCCATTATGTCCCATATTCTTATAACTTTAATAAAATACCTTTAATTGATGTTTTTACAGAGAGGATGGGAGAGGGATAGTCAGAAACATCAATGAGAGAGAAACATCGATCAGTTGCCTACTGCACACCCTTTACTGGAAATGTGCCCGCAACCAATGTACATTCCTTTGACCAGAATTGAACTTGAGACTCTTCAGTCCTCAGGCCAACCATTTATCCACTGAGCCAAAGCGGTTAGGGCTATGTCCCATATTCTTGATAACAACTGTGGTAGACAGTCAGACAGATATAAGCAGAGCAAGGACGATAGGCCAAGTATAGGAGGTCAACAGGGCAGAAAGCCCCAGGTGCCTAGCAATGGGTAAAATTGGAAAAACAAGGATCTCCCTCCCAGGGTAACCTTTTCTCCCCTAGCATATCGCTGGTCATAGGGTTTGGACCTGTCCCTGACCTTTCCTCCCCTGGCATATTGCTAGTCATGAGAGTTAGACTCTGTTAGAAGGGAAAAATGAGGGGGCCAGAGAATAGCCCTTAAGCATTAAGTCCCCAGGACAATGAGATTATGACCCGCATCTAATAGATCTAGGCCTCAATTGTATTTCAGTTCTAGGCCTGGAAAAGCAGCAAAATCAAACAAGTAACTATGGTTGCCTCAGGAACAATTGCATTAAATACTGACCTCTTGCTCTGGCCCCAACCAATCAGTAGAGACGATGACCCTGAAAGGACACCAGGAAAGGTGATAAATATTCTATTGGAAACCTCCCCTGAGACTTCAAGACAAATACCCTCAAGATGGAGGAACCTTTTTGGTTCTCTCTATGGAGCACACCAGGGCCTTTCCCCAGATCAAGACCTTTTCCTACCACCTCCCCATGAGGCTGTTTCCTTGCCTTTTCTCCTAAATTCCAAGGGACCTTCCTTTGCCCTTATAACTTGTTTCCTAAGCCCATTTATTCTATGACTAACTTCTACTTATGTGACGTTCTAAATAAACTTTCTCTTATAGTTTGAGTCTTGACTCTGAATTCTTTCTGAGCCAGAACTCAAGTACTAAGGTTCCTGAACCCAGGTCCGGTCTAACAATTGATGTCATTTCGCTGCCAGCATAACCTTATCAAAGAGGCAGAAAAATACCACTATTCACATTTTAGCATTGTGGAAACCAGGTAAAAAGCACTCACCCATCTAGAGTTAGAATGTAGACTATACCATCCCAAAATATGCCACTTTTGCATAGAGCATTTTGAGCTGATAGAGAAATAGTAGAGATAGGAAAATCTCCGAAAAGAATAAAAGTTATCTTTTGAAAGGAAGATTTATATATATTTCTATCTAATAAAGAGGGAATATGCTAATTGACCCTCACACCATCACAAAGATGGTGGTGCCCACAGCCACAAAATGGCGGTGCCCACTTCCCTTAGCGGGCTTGGGGCAAGGCCCTCAGCTGTCTAGGGCCTGCCTCCAGAGTCCCCAGTCACCTTAGTCCCCCAGCCGCCCAGGGCCGACCAAGGTTCAGGTAACTAGGACTGGCTGAAGGCTTGCACTGTGGGCAATGGCAGCAGCAGAGTTGTGATGGGGCATCACCTTCCCCTGATTGCCAGGTCACCTCCCACCCCTGAAGGCTCCCAGACTATGAGAAGAGGCAGGACGGGCTAAGGGACACCCCCCCTCCAGTGCATGAATTTCCATGCACCGGGCCTCTAATATATGTATTGATATAAAGGAAATCTCCATTTATAAGAGCGTCTCCCTCTCTGTAGGAGGAAGAGAAAGGATGAATCAATGGCTAAAGAAAATGTGATACTCATATGAGATGTGGTCTTATATATAGTATACATATAGTGTGTGTGTGTGTGTGTGTGTGTGTGTGTGTGTGTGTGTGTGTATGCAGAGGAATACTACTCAGTCATCAAGAAGAATGAAATTAGTCAGACAGAGAAAGACTATTAATGTGTGATTTCACTTACACGTGAAATCTAAAAACAAAATAAATGAACAAACAAAACTCACAGATACAGAGAACAGATTGGTAGTTACTAAGGGGATGGGGGTTGGGATTGGATGAAATGGGTAAAGGGGATCAAGAGGTACAAACTTCCATATGTAATAAAAATAGGTCATGGGATGTAAAGTATAGCAAGGTGACTATAG